ATAGAAATAACACCTGTTCTGCCCATAGGAAAAATGGTTGTAATGTTGCACATTGTGTAAAAATGTCTAGAGCCATTGTCCTCTAATAAAACATTAGTTTTGAACTTTCATGTAATGGATCTTGAATAAAATGATAAGTGGGAATACATCTCAAAGGAAAACACCACCATTCTATTCAACTCACAAATTCAGTCCAAAAGCAAGAACACACACACACACACACACTATGTTTTGTGTCTTTGATTAATAAAGACTATTTTCATTGTGTGTGACACACATCATGTTTAGCCTATTTATTTCTTTACTCAAAATTGGTTAGTTTTAGATAAATTTATAATCACTTTGTAATACATCCTGCTGATCTTTCCATTATATAGTGGATCCCTGTGAGATCAGTTTCACCTGTAAATAACTACATGTATATAGGAAATAGGAAAGAATAATTTTGGTGCTGTATGGAGATGTTATTATGATGTTTTCTCTTTCCTGATAAAGTATGAATTTCCCTTACTTAAACTCTTATGTTGCCAAATTTATAGGAATGACTTTTTATATTCAGTTAGAAGTACTCATGACTTAAAGGGAAAGTCAGCCAATAGTAAGAGAAGTCCTTTCCTTAACACAGGGCTTTCACTAATGATACTAAGGACTATAACTTCAATCTTTTTACAACCACAGAATTAGGAAGAACAGCCTCTGACTAGAGCACCCAGAATGGTAGATTGGGCATTACCTCTGAGGATCAATCTCAAGACAAGGGAAGCACATATGACTGAAGAAACTTGATGATGCTGTCTCTACAGGGATTCCAGGCTGTCAGCAGCTACAGTAACTCAACTCCAGCAGTGGTCAAGATCAGCTGGGAAGAATTATGCTACTGGTGTTTGAAGTTTGCCAGTAAGAGCTGTTTCTCTGGCAGGTGAGATAGGGAGATAGCAGCTACCAACCAGAAAAACTCCAAACCATGGGGCAGAATAGAAGTTTTCTCAGCCAGGGTGAGATTGGATCTAAAAAAAACATGGCATCAAACAAAGAACCTGAATGAGCTGTTGAGAGCAACTAACTCACTGTTCTGCTCCTCTGAACTAGTGAATGACTACTTGCCTGAGTACACCTACTGTAGCATACCTATGATGTTGGCAACATTTCAGTCAGGCAATGGCCACCACTATAGGTCCCTGTGAGTGATGCCATGCAGATTTTGCCCTCAATGTTTCAAGGTGCAGCAAATAAAGATCTGGACAGTTTTCTTATATGTTTCAGACAGGTAACTGCTTGGGATTGTAGGTATCAAGAGCAGGCAGTCCAATGCCTGATCTTGAGCTCGAATGGTCTAGCCCTGGACTCTATCATGCATTTTAATGAAGTACAACTAGAAAAGTGGGACACAGTAATGGGCAAGTTGTGCTATCAATTTAATCCAGTGAAAAATCAAACAATCCATTTTGCTAAGTTCAAGGCTCAGAAGAAGAGTGCTGCTGAAAGTACAGCTGCTTACACAGACAAACTATGCCATCTGCATGGTAAAGCATACCCTGTGATGGCTTCTGCAGATTAAGAAGACACCACATCCTATACCGATGATGTCTCCACATGAATTATGTGTTTTTTGCCAAAAGCAAAGTAGACAAGGCTATCAGATGATGGTTCAGCAAGTGATAAACAACCAGCAGCACCAATGCTTTGCTGAGAAGTATGGTGGGCAAGGCTATCAGTTTCAAATGATGGCTCAGCAGGTCCAGAAGAACCAGCAGCTTGTGGTAAAAGCTACTGCTACAGTTCTGAAAAACTATCCGAGCCTAAGCTGAATCTGGCCACATAGTTGGAGAACATGGCAAACAGTTTGTGTCAAAAGGCTTGGTGATCAGCCCAGCTCTCTCACAGCTGGATGGAGTTTGGCATGTACCTGAAAGGGTACAATGGCAAGAAAATAAGTTTCTGATTGACACAAGACTTCATAATACTGGTAAATCTCATAATATATCATAACCTCCAATGAGATAACCACTTTGGCAAATCAATACTAATTTCATTCTGGCAAATAGCAATAGACTATTCACGAGTGGAGAAGCTGATCTCTAGCTGCATCTAAGAGATGTCACTCAAAGAATGAAAGCAACCATCTCCAACCTCATTTCTGGCATTAGCATGGAATGGATATGCTGTAGAAACTATCAGTGCAACTAATAAACTGATATTCTATGGGAGAGTTATCCGAGGTTGGCCAGATCAAGCTCAGAAACAGTGGACTGCATGACTGTATGTAATAAAGGAAATAACAGTACTTCTATATAAATATACGTAGTATTCTATGGTTTACTAGGATGAAGTCTAATGTGTCAGTGCTGTATAATTTGGATAAAAAGCCCATGCATGAAATAAACAGTTTCATGTTCAGAAACAAGCAGCATTCATTCAGGCAGTTATCTGTTTAAGGAGGTAATAAGCCCCAGGGTTGTTTTCTAATTATGGATAATTGGTTATCCAGCTTTATGCTGAAATGATCATTGGTGTGGTAAGAGAAGGAAAAGTGACCACACCAACTGAGTTGAGTCTTTCACACCATATCTGAAAGCATGTATGTAGCTACCATCACATCTGAGATCACTATTTCAATGCAAATAATCTTGACCAAAAGCAGTGAAAGCAACTCAGTGACTTGTTAGTTGAGTATGACAACATATTTATGGGGCCAGATGGCCAACTGGGTTGAACAACAGTGACTTGCCACAACAAAGATACAGGCAGCACTTTTTAGCGCATATGTTGAAATATAGTGAATGTTGAAATACAAGATCAACTTACCAAGAGTGCTTGGTCATCTCCAGCAGTGATTGTCAGGAAGGAGGAACATATAAAATTCTGTGTTGGTTTTAGATGAATGAATGTAGTAACTCACACTGATGCCTTCCTTTTGCTGTAAACAGTTCAATGTTTGGATTTTTGGAAGGTTCCTGTTGGTTCAACCCTTTAGACTTGCAAAATTGGACTAGATGACAAAAACAGACATAAGACTGCTTTTATCATGAGAGATAACTTGTGTGAGTTTCATTTCATGCCATCCAAGAATTTAATTGAGCTTACACTGAAGGTGTTACAAAGGGAGATGTGCCTGGTCTACCTCAATGATGTTTTAGTGTTTGGATGGATACATAAGTCTATGGCTTAGAAATTAAGAATGGTATTCCAGTGGATAAAGAAAGCAAGCTTGACAGTGGAACCAGGAAAATGAGTGTTCATGCATACAGAAATGGAATTTCTCAATCATGTTGTATACAGTCTCTTTACAGATCCTGTTAAAATAGCAGTGGTGAGACAATGGCCTCATTCTGTGACCAATTGAGAAATTTGCAGTTTCCTTGGTTTTACATCATTTCACCAACAATTTATGGCCAACTTCTCCAAGATAGCAGTATCATTGTCTGCTGTCATTAAAATTAAGATGTACTTTGAAGGGAACGAGAGATGTGAACAGGCATTTCTATCCATAAAGCTTGCTTCATGTTAGCATATCTATGACAAGACAGTACATTTTAGTTAGACATCAATGCCAGTAATAATGGAATTGAAAAAGTGTTATCACAGTTGTAGGATGAAATAGAACATGTAATTGTGTACATTAGTCATACACTTGTGGCTCCTGAATGCCAATGAAGAAGGAACTGCTTGTAGCTGTAGTCTTTGTAAAACACTATTGCCACTGCTTGTATGGTAGGAAGTTCACTATCTAGGTGGACTAAGCTTTGCTGAAATAGTTAATGAACTTTTAAAACTGGAAGGGATAACAGCACATTGGATAATAACATTGTAAGAATGACTCTGTCACAGTACATTGCCTGGGGCTACAACATGACACTGCAGAAAAACTAGCTTGAAGTACTGTCAGACCCTGTCTGTTCATGGAATGTCTTGATCCTGGATACTGAGTTGGAGTTGAAACCACTTTCACCACAGCAATACATTTGGAGATACCACTAGTTGATGGATGATGCAATTAACATTTTGGGAAATCCAGGAAGTGCAATTGAAAGATCCAGATCAAGCAAGCCACTCCTTGCCATGCAGCTAGGTAAACTTTCTCATTTTAATTTAGAATTATTTAATTTTTTTTCATTTATTCTAAGTCTACACACTCTTGGCATGATACTTGGTCAAAAAGTCATTATATGGATTTTGTTCTAGCTGCCTTTGTTCCTTTATCAATTTATGGAGACAATGCCTGTTCTTCCCATGGGAGGATTGGCTGTAATGCTTCACATTGAGCAAAAATGTTGACAGCCAGTATCCTTCAATGATAGGCTAGATGATATCTCGAAGTTATGGTTTCCCCTGTGTTCAAAAGAGAATAACCAGCCACATAGTTGGGTTAGTTGCAATGGGTAAATCTGAAGTTTCCAATTAAATGAGAAAGGTTGGCTTTAAAAAATTCCTGAACTAGATCTTGATTGAAATGGTTAGTAGGTATACATTTTAAGGGAAAACACCAATTTAACCAACCCACAAATCCAGTGAAAGGTGACAGTAAAGTGTCCATAGGCAAATCCATACACTGGTTTTCTGTCTCTGATAAATAAAGGTTGTTTTCATTGTGTGTTAAACACCATGTCCAGTCTATTTATGGCTTTGCTCCAACTCAGTTTTAGTTAAATTCGTTATTAATTCTTAACATATCCTGCTGATCCTCTGCTATAAAGCAGACCTACCTAATATATTTTGACAAAATCAGTTTCATCTGAAAATACCACAGCTAACATATTATTCTAATGTCATCTAAATGGCAGAATACAAACAATACTGGTCATGCCTGACTATATTGTTTGAAGCATCTAGTTTTGCGTGCTGAATTTGATTTGAATATTTTTTACATCTCTCTTTCAGGAGTACTGTTTTTTAAATAATCTAATAACCTTTTTTTTTGTCAGAAATATTTCATCAATGTTTAAAATATTAGATTTTTAAATACTAATAAATAAATATATATATACATATAAATGTATTACCCATGATCAGCTTCATCTTCTGTAATTTCTACTGGTTGGGTTTCTTCCTTGGGATCTTCTGTAAGCTCAAAAATACACTGGCCTGTTTTTGTGGCACAGAGAATCCCCTCTGCAACAACAGAGACTGAAGTGCTGGCAGCTGGAGTTGATGCATGAGGAAATCCAGTTAAACTAGCTTCTGTTTCAGGAGAATGGGCTGCATCAGACTGTTAAGCATAAATTATCTTCATTTCCTACACTTAGTAGACTAGTCAAGCCATACAACAGTGAAAGGAAGGTTTTTATTTGTAATAATCCAAACAATTCTTAACATCTTTTTTTTTGTTTTAACTTTATAATATTCTAGATGGTTCCAATTTACTGCTATTTTATCATAACAAGAATGTCCATCCATACATTTGAATAGATTAAGATGCCAACCATTAAAATGTAAGACGTTTTAGTTCAAGAAGTATCCATAATTCAGGAGAGAAACAAGAAAAAATATAAAGTATATCAATTATTATTTTTAAAGCTTAATAAAAACATATATGTAAAAAGTATATTTAAAAAAAATGTATGCTAAAGTACCCTCCTATGGAAACTAGTGGACAAAAAAGTATGAATGACATGAATTTTCTGTAAATTTGTAACAAACCAGGATATAGTGATGTTACATTGATTTATTCTACACTGTTCCAATATCATTTATTTCACAACATACACACTTGAGAATGTATTAAGATATTAACCTGATCACAGTTGAAATGTGAATTTTAATTGAGTTCATGGGAAAGAATTTTTAAAAACGTTTTTGAAAAACATTTATTAATCTATGATGAAAAAAAAATCATTTGTTTTGTAGTTTACCCATTTTAAAAAAAAACATTTTGAAAAAATGTTCATTAATTCCGTGTGGTGCATGAGAATTAATGAAAATTTTTATTTGAAGTGATCACAGCTTTGTTTATATCTCTTTGCCACCCCTATTAACTTGACACCGTCTACACATATTTCCCTGATCATTATTATTGTTGTTAGTAGTAAATTACTATTTTATAATTTTTTTAATTTATGTTTATTACTTTTCTGTATCATTTTAATTCTAAAACCCATTTGCTATCACTTTAATATTTGTTTTCCATTCTTAAAACTGTTTATAGAACCATTTCAACAATTTTCCTTCTACAGTATTTTTGTTAACGTGCTCCATGCAGTACGTATGTAATTTAGAATTTTTTTATATTCTAACCCTTCAACAATTTTGTCTAAGCCTTTTTTTCTATGTAACATGGTTTAAACTGCCTGATGAAGAGCTTATGCCCTAAATGTTATAAATAAATATAAAGTTTTGTCATAGATGTGTGTTTTACCAATTTCCAACTCTTTTTTCACTATTTTTCTATGTCTTGCGGTGTTTCCTACTATGTGTTTTTTCTCTGTCTATTCAAACTGCTGCTTCTTGACATAACTATAAATTCTTCAAGATTTTAATATCTGCCTGATCTACCCCATAGCAGGATCTTCATTAACTTCTCATGGTTAACACTGTCAAAATCTTTTTCAACCTACTCCATTACAAAGTGCTAAGAACAGTGTCTTCTAAGCTAGATCACATACATATAATCTGCTCACTTACAATTCACTGTTCAGGTGTAAATGGACCAGGAATCTTCAGATACATGTACATAATCATATCCATAAAAAAATTCACTGTGTATTATTTCTTGGCACTTGTGTATAATATTAAAATAATAAATAACACACAATGTTAAAATAAGTACACAATTAAAAACATTTTAATTAAGGCCAATCTATGACCACTAAAAAGTTGACTCTACATGTTTCAATGTTGCAGTGTCATCTCCAGGAGTGAGTTGCAAGACATAATTGTGTCTTATTTATACTTTTTTTTTGTTAAACAGGTCATGTGACCTATATACAGGATTAAAATTCCTGCCTGATTTTTCTAAAGAAGGTCATCCCACATTTTTGCATAGATATTCACCGGACCTTCATCTCTATTTAATAATACATGATCTTTTTAATGTTTAATTATTTCCAGGGATTGTTAAATTGAGAATAAATTGTTAGAAAATAAAATTCCAGCAGTTGAAACTGTAGATATACTTGAAGGGTTAGCTATGGAATCCCTACTTTCACTGTTGTTGTGTGACTTGTATGTGGATGTACTTGAAACTAAAGCCATAAATGGTGTAATATGTAAACATGATATTTGGATCAGATATGTAAATGACACATTCTTATTGTGGAACTATAGTAATAAGGCATTAATTGAGTTTGTGTGCTATTTGAATTGAAAAATAATAGTTTGCCTTTTCTAGATGTATTAGTAAAGAGGAATTTACAAGGTAATCTAGAAACATCTATTTACTGGAAACCCTTTTGTGTTCTTATGCTTCCACACAATGAATCATGTCATACTAGATCACAAAAATTATCTGCATTTTACACTATGTTCACAGAATTTTGAAGATATGTAATAAACAAAATGAATTATTACTAATGAAATTTATAGCACCTGAAACGGGATTTATCCCAAATATTGTAGATAGAGCTGTCAAATTCACTAATGTGGTAATGCCTGATCAAAGTATTACTTTAAAACCCAGTTATGAAGAAATTAAAAAGGAAGCTTTAATCTTGCCATATGTTCCAGATCTAACTAATAATTTATTGAAAGTGTTTAGAAAACAACAAATATTGTATCTTATATTCAAACTGGTTAATAATATTAAGCAAATTTTAGGCAACATAGTTAAAGGAAAAAACAGGAATCTATAAAATTGAATGTGAATGTGGAAATATTTATATTGGACAGACTAAACGTAATTTAAAATAGCATTTAATGGATCAAAAAGGATATGTAAGAGAAAGAAAAATTAAAATTCAACCATAAGAGATCATGTACATACAGTATATACAACATAGAGCATTGTGGGAAAAACTGTACTATTGGCTCAACCAAAAAGTATTATAGCCAATGATATTTGTGAATCCTTGGAAATAATTAAACATAAAAAATATCATGTATTATTATTAAATAGAGATGAAGGTCCAGTAAATATATATACAAAAACGTGGGGTGACCTTCTCTAAAACGTTGACACAGGAATTGAAAATCTGTACATAGGTCACATGACCTATTCAACAAAAAAATTATAAATAAGACATAATTATGTCTTTTAACTCACTCTTGAAGATGAACATGTAGAGTCATCTTTTTAGTGGTCATAGATTGGCCTTGATTAAAATGTTTTTAATTGTGTACCATAGGTGCCTGCAGGAAGGGGTGAGTCACTTCACCCCTCTGGATTTTCAAAAAGAAAAAAAATTACTAGATATGTAAAATTATTCTTCTATGTTATTGGAAAATCATAAGGTATTTGTATTTCAATTTCATAATTTTTTCAAACTTGAGTTACTTTACCCCCCTAATTTTTTCTGCAGGTGCCTTTGTTGTGTACCTATTTTAATGTTGTGTGTTATTTATTATTTTAAAATTCACTGTGGTTTTTGTTGTTGCCAAACATAATAAAAACAAAATGTTATGATATGAATGCCTTTTCTAGGATGACAAAAATTATCATAATTAATTATACTTGTTATAAAACATTAGTATTAAGCCTATTATACTTTTTCATCACATTCTTTATCTAGTTCCTCAAAGATTTTCAAGAATTAGAAGATTGTATAATAATAGTGTTCTAACCACATTATGTTCACCATATAAGACAAGTATAATTAATAATAATGAAAAATACACTTATTGTAAAAAATATCAATAATCTTAGAAAGAAATTCCCAGTAATATATACATACATATGTAAAGTTGGTAGGTTAGTGGAATTTGCTAATCATCAAGCTTATTAAGCAATTAAATTCAATCAACTGATAATTCTCACAAGACTTGGCTTGTTGCAATAACTAACCGAAGGGATACTCAGGACAGGAAATTCATAGGGGCCATGGCAGCAATAGCCGCTGTATTTTTCAAAATGGCAGTGGTGCCCTCAGAAAATCACTAAAATCCATGGCCTTTGGCCATCATGCCCTCACAATCTAAATTTGTATACTGCAATAATGGGAAAAACCACTGGGGATCACAAGCACTGGACATATAATATACAACCTTCAAAAACTACCTTGTTACGAATAATGTATCACATAAAATGCATGTAGTGGAGGGAGCAAAATTTTTGCTTTGATCGACAGTAAAACATTCATGTGGTTTGTTGAGTCATACTGTACCACAGGCTCTTAGTAGTAGTAAGCAATTGAAATTGGCACTCAAACAACAAACCCACAGAGCTAACACAAAGATCCACAGTGACAGCAGTATGTGATAATCAAAGTCAGCATGTACATATGCTAGTCAGAGTGAAGTGCACTACTGCAAATACTCCTTGCACTAAACATGTCGAAAAAGGAATGAGTTAAGAGGGAGAATGGAGTGAAACTTTTTTCTGTAGTGGCAAAGTGCCAGAAATTAGAACTTTTTTCATAGGTAAATATGTAGATTATATCCTGATTTTTAGACATAGCATAGCAGCTCATAAAATAGCTTTATCGTCTCTTGACCGATTTAAGATCTAATTACAGTTTAGAACTCAGGAGGTCAAATCCTTTTGATTAATGTATTTGACCATGCCCAAAGTCTCACAGATTAATTTACTCTAATCCTGCCTAAAAGAATTTCAAGTGCTGCAGCTATTGAGAATTCCTTCATTTATAAAATGAAGGGAAATAGGATATGTCAATAATTTGACTACATAAATTTTATATGCAAACCCATCAAAGATTTAGGCCTACTACATTAGCTAGCTAGGGTTAATGTTACTGAATTACTAGTGACAACACATGATTTATAGGTTATGACCATATAGTGATTTATAAGTGACAACCATGTTGTGTAGGCCTAGTTTACTGTTTATTGGTACAAGTCTATGTTGGAAATTATGTAAAAAAATACTAGTAGTAGTAGTATTGTTTGTAAATAGAATGTTGACCTTATGTCATTGCAATGTGTCTTTCTATCTCTCTGTCTGTCCATTAAGGTTTTAAAAGGGCTGCTTTTTGTAAACCATGTAACTGATTTTTGTCAATCTTGGTCATGCAGTCAGACATGTTAAAATTAAATTTTATTGGTAGAAATACGGCCTTTAAACTTTTCCTCCTCCCAGGGATTTTGACTTATCGTTCTCAAAGTTAGAAAAAGTAATAAACGGATAGAGGTCCATAAAAGTTGTATATAATTCTTAAGTCAAAGGTAATTTGGGGTTAGGAGGGGGCAAAAGCTAGAAATCTTATAAAGCACTTGTTCTATTTATGTGTAAGTCTGATCTTTATCAAAGTTGGATAAATGAGTAAGTGAATAGAGATGCATGAAATTTATTCATGACTTGTAAGGTCACCAGAGGTCAAATACTGGAAACCTTTAAAATGCTACTCCTCCCAGGGATTTTGTTTGATCCTTCTCAAAGTTAGAAAAATTAATAAGTGAAGAGAAGTGCCTAAATTGTTGTAGACAATTTTCAGGTCAAGCGTCATTTGGAGTCAGGACGGGACAAAAACTAGGAATTTTATTAAGGTCACAGGGCCTTTTAAATCAGCATCATACCTCCTTTTATAAAGCTGTTGTACTGTTACTTCATAACAGTATTAACTTCATAGAGTATTAACTTTAACAAATAAGACTTACTTCATAAGTCTCATTGGTTAAAGTTAATATTTACCTACCTGATAAACATAATCTGGAGGGATAGGCCAGTATCCCAAACAACCAATGAAAAAATTAATATTATATTTACTAAACTAATTGGGAAACTCATTTCTGTTTCATTAAAATTTATGTGTACTATGGCCTTAGTGCCCTCCAGTGAATTGTTTTTGGCCTTGGTGCCCTTGAAAATGAAACAAAATTCAAGGCCTAATGGCCTTGCCCTAAAATGATGAATTTCCTGGTCTGCATTCAGTAGAGCACATACCCTCACCTTACAGCATTGATCATATTTGGCTCTCAAAAAACATTAAAATATGTCTGTTTGTCTGTCATTATCAACAGACACAGACCATTTTTGGCAGGACAATGATGAATAATATTCTACACATGTCCACCAAATTTCATCAAAATCCAATCATTTTTGACTGAGTTATAAATGTTAACAGATATGGATTTTTTTATTTTTTGTGACCTTCTTGTGACCCTGACCCATCAAAAACTAATCAATTCTAAGATGGGTCATAATCCAAATGTATACCAACTTTTGTCCAAATCCATCCTGCCATTTTCCAGAAATCTTGTTGACAAACACACACACATGGGGTGAAAACATAACCTCCAACTACCTTTGGTGGTGGAAGTAAAAATAGTAATTGGAGAGACTAATTTTGATTAGCTGATTATTTTCATGATTTATGGCACTAATCAGTTAAGCTGAACAACCTTGTATTAATCAAAGTCAATAATGAGAAATCATAATGGCAATATTTTGATCATTTCTACGATTGTAATGCATGAGTAATAATCAGAAACACTAATCAATTTATTCTAATTTTGAATAATTATTATACGTGACACTAATTGGTGTAATTGATGCTCATAGGTAATTGATTACATTGATTATTTGAATTAACACCGTGCACAGCATCAGTCCAATGGACTGATGCTGTATTGGATGACAAATTTTTATTATAATTCTGAGTTTATTATGTGTATCTTCACAAAATTTGGCAAGCTTTTAGTAAACATTAAAGTATGCAGTACACAAAAAAATCTGAACTTTAATAAAGCACCTCCACTAAAGATTTGTCTTTGAATTTCCAATGTCTTTACTGAGTAAATCTAAGTGTAAGGTGATTTTCATGCTAAGAATAATAATACTTCTTTTCACCTCACAGTTTCCATATTTAATTTTCATAACCTATAAAACAACCTAAAAGAATAACAGAAGTTTCTTCTCTGTAGAAATATATTTTATTCACAACTGGTTTCATTTAATTTTATTGCTTTACAGCTGCAATTAGACCATCTCAGAGTATGCTAAAATCATTTCTTGTAGCATGTCACCTGTTTATCACAGCAAGACAGCTTTGTGTTAACAAACAATTGAGTTATAATCATGACATGCTATGTGAACATGGTTACACTGATATAGGATACTGAATTATGTGACAAACCTGATTTAATTTTTTCATTTAGGTTTTCTTATCCAACCTAGTAAATTTCTAATTTTTTCATTTTTTTTACCTTTATAACAATAAGTAAAAAACTTTTCTAGATTCATATTCACAAAACAAACAAAAATGTACTGAAACACAGAGCAAAACCATCCAAAGAATTTTACATAATTTACTGACACTTCAAAATTTAGCATTCTCTTAGCAGTCTCCACTTTTTTGTTTTGGTTGCTATTGTGTTACCTCAATGGGTAGAATGGCTCTGTGATAATGTTCTGTCTTTCAGCTACTTATTAACATATATATAAAAGTTACATTACATTTATACTTTTACTCTTAACTAAATGAACTAAATTTTGTTAATTACATTAATGATAGGAATTAGGTATTGTGATCTTCTTGTTTAACACAATTCTATTACTTAATAATTTGCTTGAAAATTCAGAAAACAAGTTTTTTTTTAAATGTTTAGAAACTTTCCACATTTATAAAGATTAGAATAAAATATTGAACTTTTAATTTAAAAAGATAGTATTTCCAGAAATTAGAAACTAGATTGGAATATTTAAACTAGTAATACACAGTTCCTCAAAATTTTCCACAAAAAAAAGACATTATCCAAGATGTTGTCAAAAACCACTCTCATCAGTTATGTGGTTTTTAATGTTCTTGTACAGGGATTATATTTTTATTTAAATTTATGAACTATTCTACACATATTAAGGCCATTCTCAATTTTTTTTAAATGACATTATTGTAAGCCATCACATTGTAAACCAGGGTGCAATTTGTCAAATTTCCAGTGATGGGGATAAAATACCCAAACAAAAAAAAATATTGGCTAACCATGACACATCTGTACTACACAGTTTAAACACCGAGATCCATCAAGAAGTTATTTATATATATACCGATTCCACTACAAAAATATATATATATGTATATATATACACATATATACATTGTTTTATATGGAATGAAAAGTCAATTACAAAAACTACTTACACCACACAGCAACTAAATATAACTTAAAGAGCACTTGTGACAATTACTTGCTCCTTTACACTGCATAATGTAAAAAACTGAAACAACAATAAAATAAACATTGTAGATATTTTTTATAGGGATTGTTAATTTCTTTTTCAGGGGGGGATAAATTCATCATACCCTAAAGATGATAAATGAAAGTGCAGCCCCTAGCTGCAAACAAACATAAATACCCTTTTGAAATTTTGTTATATAAGAAGTGTATGTGTGTAATTTTTTTATGCTAGAACTTTTGTTTTGTTTAAATATCACTATGGCTGGGACATATATTTCCCAGGGCACATACATCTCAGCTGCAGTAAAAGGGTTAAACTTTTCCTACATAGTATTTGTCTCTTTCAGTGAAAGATGCCACAAAATTCAACTACTTTACAATAGCAAGACCAAGAAAAGAGAACTCACTTGAGATCCAGTTTGAGAAGTTTTCTTTTTTGGCCTTTTGAGGATTGGAATCCATCTGCCTTTGGTTTTTTTCTCTGAATGTGTAGTGGCCATTATGACAACATTTACTTCCACAACTATCAAGAAAGAATCTAAAAGCACTAAAAATTAATAAAAACAACAATGTGAATGTAATGCACCATTAACTATGAATTATCTTATTGCTATAAGATATAACAAAATTTGAATTTAGGTTAAGAACTAAACACATATCTCTCTCTTTACTCAGTAGCAATTTGGTCTACCACCTAGCAATAAATTAGTTTCAGTAATTTGATTGTGAAGTCTTAACATTTGAATAAATAAATTACAGTCTGTTTGGGGTGAAGCCAAGGCCAGTTTAAGACCAGTGGGCCCATACACATCAATTCTGAGGGACCCTCTTTTTACACATTTTGTTTTTATGGCACTGAAATTTTATCTGTCAAAACAGCCAGTTACTTGACATAATGCTTTTAAAATGCTACAGTTTCCAACTTAAAAAATTATCAGAGAAGGGTATTCAAAAAACATAACCATCAATGCATCTTTGCCCCCTTGGCTTGAGTGTCTACTGTAATCAGTACTGTGCCATTGGTAGATTTGGCTAATATGGCCCAGGATAGAAACTACAAAATACTAGTACTACAAGTAAAATTCCAAATGTAAACTTACTTCATGCTGCAATCGAATTATGATGTTATAGTACAGTGTAAGTAGTACGACAGTATTACTCACTTACTGGTATTATGATTATATCATTATTAGTTCATACAATTTATGAATAAAGCTTTGAGAAATGAAAAACGTATGCTTAAGTCTTTATTAATATTGTTAAGGCTTGAGAAATCTTACATGTACAATGTAAAAATTCAACCATCCCACTATTACTATTAGTATCTTACTTTCACTTTCAAATAAATAGTATTATCAAAAACAAACATTAATAATTAGCTCTATTTATCACTATCAGCTCTTCTAGCACTAAAACTTACATTATAAAGAATTCTAACTTATATGTAAGTAGAGCTAATTGATAATATCTATAGGCTTTGTTTCCCTTTTTCTTCACCTAAATTAACTGATACTCATAAGTTATTAACACTTCAGTTCAACTTTTAGTTTCAGTTTTAAAATAGTGTAAATTGCACACAATATGTTGATTTATAAAGTAAATCGATCAATGGTGGGGAAAATGGAAACATATGTATATATCTTCCAAAACTCGTTGCATTTTATAATTCTTCAGGAGTAGTGAATTCTATTTTGAGAAATCGAGATGTAAATAATTAAAATATAGATATTTAATACTCCATCTTAATTTAAAGAAAAACAAAAACATACATCAATGTGTTCCCTAAGGCCATCTAGTAGTAATGTTTCTATATTAGGAGTAAAAACAAAACGACATTTTTTATTTTATTTTGCACAATGAAAGATTAAATCTTCATTATATACTTCAACTGACTAGTTTCAGAAACTAAGCTAAATCAGTTGACCTCAGAGATAAAGAATTCAGAACTAGCTGGAATTTGCTTACTCCTCTCCTAAAGGTGTGGCGACACAAAGATACTGTTACGTCACTAGTCGTTAGTTAATTTTCCGTAAAAATTCTTTCCGAAGAAACTTTAGCGATACAAGTCCTTT